AGGGTTTTTTTTCATTTTGGGTTGTTTTTTTTTTTAATGTCTAAAACTTGCATTTGAGCACTGGTACCTAATTTCTTAGTAAAAAAAAATATTTTAAAGTACTGTTGTTTTTGTGTGGGAACTGCACCTCAGAGGGAAATTGCCAATTGCCGTAGGCTAAATCCAGAGCTGTTTCACATCTTCTACAGCTGTACTGAAGCTGGTACAGTTTTGGGGAGGGCACAGGTTGTTCATGGTGCAGGAGGAGGAGGAACCTGTTCGTGCCAGCAGCAGAACTTCAGTCATCAGGACATGGAATTTAGCTGAGTTACAGGAACAGAGCAGTTTGTTACGGCTTTTGTTTGTTTACATGAAATGGAGTTGAAGATCTCCATCTCTGAGATGTAACCCAGCTCTCCTATTGCACATTTGTACGTCTTGAGGAACAACATGATCAAGTACCAGTTGAAAAATTCCTAACAACATCCCACTAAGTTTTACAGGATCTGTTTCTGTGTGGTAATCCCAGCCTGAAACAATACTTCGCAGGATGAAAAAAAAAAAATCTATGTTTTTCAATTCAGCAGCACTTTTGGTACTCAGAAGTCTTTCAGATCAGCTGAAGTAGCTGAATGTGCTCAGTTAAGCAGCAGTAGGCAACTTGTCAGTGTTCACTTCTGGAGGTGAGCTGGGAGTACAGAGGAATAAGAACTTAGTTAAAACGTGATCCATCTGGCATTCCTGTCAGGAAGTGTGTCTGTGCATTGCTTCTGTGTGCCAGGCTTAGCAGACTGAGGAACTTCCTATGATTTGCAGCAATCCTTTGGTATGATTTTCAAGGAGGACTTAATGTGTGAAACATTCTAGTGCAGCAGCCAAATGCCACCTGTGTTCATAAATCGGGTGTTTTTTTTTTTAAAAAAAAGGTGTATTTTTAGCAAGTAAACAAAAGAGTAAACAGTGAAGAAATACTTTCCAGTTGTGCAGAGATTAGTGTAAATAATAACCCCTTATGTGCTTTCCTGCAATAAAATTGGAGAACTCGTGCTATTCTGTTTCCTCTTTATTGTATGACAGAACATGGATGCCTGCATGGTACTTGACTAATACGATTACTGCACATTTTTGGTGATTTTAATTTTTTAACACTGACGTGTTGTAGCGCAAAGGCTCATAGCCATTAACCTTTGCTGCTGCTTTAGATATTCTTGCATTAAATATCCTTTCTTAGTGCTTCTGCTCTTACAAACTGGTTTTTGGTGTTTCACCTTTAGGGCACTGCTTTGAAAATCTCCTGCACCTCTGACAGCTGAGTTGTCAGTGTCTGACTTGACTTTGGCATCCTCAGTTCAGTTCCCAGCAGACAGGGTTGATGTGTCTCTCGTTAGGAAACTGTCTGGGCAGATAATTGACGAGTTGAGCGAGCTCATTTGAGACTTTTTCTTTTTTCTTCCTCTCATTTTTGCACTTCACCAGTGTTTCTGCAGTTTGTCATCCCAATAAAGTTTCTAATTTAAAGGTGTCCATATGCTCCAGGCCGTAATGGATGCTGTGGTAGGCACAGCATTTATTTTAAGTATCAAAATTTTGGCATCTTTCTCTCTTTTTCTAAGCAATGGATCAAATTTCTACTATTTTTCCCCCCTCATGCTGTCCTTGAGCTCCTTCCCCGTAACATATTGGGCAAAGATCAATTGCCTTCTGTATTACCCATGGGAATCAAATACTGAAGGGCTGTGGAAAAGAGCTTCCCTACTCAGCCTGTATTTGGGCTTGGGATTGACCATTTCACGCCATGTTCCAATATATGGGAAATCTGAAAGGAAATTTGTATAAAAAGCACGTGTTACTGGAGTTGTTTAAATCTAGATGTTGGCTCTTTCTTCCCATCCCTAGGTTTTTCTCCTCTCAAAAATACCAGAGTTCACGCTCTCTGTGGAGCTGCAAGACCTCGTGTCATCTCAGAAGCATTTCTATCCATTCACCAACTGTCCTTTATTTTGCATAATTTTTGGGCTTCTGTGCTGCAATAGCCTATAAGATGATTGATCTCAGAATGAAAAGAAAAACAAAGGGCTGTACTCATGCACAAAGATAATTTGCATCTTTCGTCTCTGTTGAAGAGGGAACAGAGGACTTCAGATCACAATCAGTCAAGTACAGGGAGATTCTGTTCTCTCAGATGGCTCCAAGGGTAGGAACGTGGTGCCAGTACAGCTGCTGCCACAGGGAGATTGAGCAATCTACAAAGGAAGGGCAAATAATTTGCTAAAAACTAACCATGTTCAAACAGCTCTCCCCTCTGCACTGTACCTCCTGGTTAGAGGTAAGGGAAGAGGGTCAGGAATCCGGCAGAGCGAGGAAAAGGCTGGCATCATGTGAAAGAGGTGTAGCTTAGTGGTGTGAAAATGTCTTGTCCTGTTCACCATTAACTTTCTGGATTTAATTACACATGGCATCTGTGTGTGGGGAGGCCCAACTCTGAATGCTTTTAATGGGAAATTCGTATTTAGATTGCTCAAGTCCACAGAAATTCATTAGGCCAATTTGCAAGGAAATTAATGCAATTACCGAGTCAAGAGCTCTTAAAACAATGCATAAATGTATTGGGAACAAAGTTGAAGCCTATGAGATGTTAACTTGGACCTGGTGTGGCTTTCACCTCCCTTATTTTTTAAAAAGTACGAAAGACCTAAGTGGGCAGGTACACTCACTGCAAAAAGTACAAAGCAAGTTCTTGGGAAGACAAAAGAACAGGGCATGTATTTAAATAGGGACTGTATGACATCACTGAATCATTTGGGTTGGAAAAGACCGCTAAGATCATCGAGTCCAACTGTTAACATAGCATTGCCAAGCCCACCTTTAAGCCATGTCCCCAAATGCCACATCCACACATCTTTGGAACACTTCCAGGGGTGGCAGCTCCACCCGCTTCCCTGGGCAGCCTGTTCCAATGCTTGACAACTCTTTTGGGAAAGAAACTTTTCCTAATAATTAATCTAAACCTCCCCTGGTGCGACTTGAGGCTGCTTCCTCTTATCCTTTGTTATCTGGGGGAAGAGACTGACCCCCCACAGGCTACAGCCTCCTTTCAGGCTGTTGTAGAGAGAGACAGGGTCCCCCCGAGCCTCTTCCAGCCTGAACAGTCCCAGCTTCCTCAGCTGCTCTTCATAAGACTTGCACTCTGCAATGCACAGTACAGGTCACCTTAGGTTCCAGCTGATAGAAATGGATTTCCTGTGGAATCCTGTTTCACTTGCCTAAGTTACAATCACTTTTTTCATTTTATTTCACTTGAATCTTCCATTTTATTCTTAGTAGCAGGCACCAGGAATGTAGAAAGGCTTTTTACTTTACAGTTAGCTAATGCAATATTAGTGGGACTCCAACAAAACAAAGTTTGAAGGCTCTTGAATGCCAAGCTTTGCACAAATCCTGCCTGATGTCCCTTAAGAATGCTGGTCATGTTGCATTCGGTGTGCCAGCGAGCCTCTTTACAGCCTGTTTGTCCTGGCTGCCAGCTCGCACATGCTGCTGCACAAAGATAAGGGCTGGGGACTGACCCGCTCGTCGGCAGAGCAGCTGGGGTGGAATCTTCCTGGCTCCCAGCCCAGCCGCAGCTCGGCTTTAATTTCAGTGTCAGGGTGGGAGTTCACTGCCTACTGGGAAATAGTTTTCCTGGTGGGAGGCAGAGCAGTGGCGTATGCGAGAAATCCTGCACTATAAAAGTGCATTCCCATGATTTGGGCGATGAGCCCGTAATTTTAACGAATTATTTATGGCTCTAGCTGAAAGCAGCAATTTAACAAAGACACTGGTTTGAGCTTTGGTGGAATTTTTTTGATGAATCAGTCCCAGCTGTTTCCACCATGTAGCAAAGCATTTTCAGGCACCAAGAAGGAAATCGGGCTTTCAGGGACTGGAGCAGCCCAAGTGGAGTAGCCGCCTTTGTGGGAACTGACAACGCTGACTCAGGAAGCTGTGACGAAAGCAGCAACAGAAGACAGGGATGGAAAAGACTTGCAGCAGATAATCTCCTTGTTGACTCTGAAATTTTGTACTGATGGTGGTGAAATTTAGCATTTACCTTTAAAAACAGAAATCCACTTCTTTGCACACTGCAGCTCCCTGTTTTGAAGTGGAATCTTCTGTATCCTACCAGTTGCCAAATGAAGGGAAGAATTGAGAGGCTGCAGCACAAAGCTGGGTAGGGCTCACCTCTGAAAGTCACCTAGCAATGCAATATGGGCTTGGCTCCTCACATGCCTTTTGGGAGGATGAATCGTGTAGCAGCAGCAGTGTGAGGAACCCACAGTTTTTCTCAAATACAGGACCTGGGCTGGGCAGTTTTGGTGAAGTGGCATCACCATTAATGTGCCACATTAACGTGAAAATATATTAAAAAAAAATAACCTGGAGGAGAAAGATAAGGTGTTTGCTTAAGTTCTCCTAACAGTGTAATTCGCATTACGGTTTTTTAAGTACTGCACTGTCCTCTCAGCCAAAGCCTTACAAAGCCTCTTCCTATTTGAGGCTGCCCACAAAATAACACAAATATATGACCACAATCAAATGTCAACCACCCTCGCAACAAGATAACAACATTTAATGCAAAATATCTTCACACTCTGTGGGTTGGTAGGAACTTGTTCTGCTGGCGTTCCCTTGGGATGACCACAGCCTTCTGGGTCAGTGGTTCACCTTCTACTTCACGCCAGGCAAGTTATCCAGAAAAATATCATAGTAGCTACAGTGAACATTTTACCAGCTGCTGCGTCAGAGAACACAGATGCAGCTGGAAAGGCAGTTCCTGCTGGGTTAGATAAGATTTTGCCTCAAATACAGCTACACTAACAGAAAACATTGCTGTAATTAGGAGATTGCAAGATAAAACTTTCAAGTACTCCCTTTCCCTTTACTACTGAGCCACATTGTATTTTATGGCATAAAAGGTTTTAAATTATTACTACAGCAAATAAACAGAAAAAGAACATGGCATTTTGTGCATCTCGGGGGGGGGGGGGGTCATTGTGTTCTCATATCAATCTAAGCCTCTCTGCTACTGCCTGGGTAGCACCAAGTGCCTCAGGGCTTGTACAGCGTCGTCTTTGTACTTTCATTAATACACACAGAATTAATATGCACAGAACAAGAAACAGTGAGCCTGGTGAGAAAAAAGATCTACAATAGGCAACTTGTAACTGGTAATACTAATATAATATTAATAGAAGCCCACCAAGAACAGCAACCAAGAGAACTTTTTAAATTTTCAGTGTAACAATATGCTTGTTGGCGCAGCATTTAAACCATCAGATAATGACAACCAGTAATAATTCCCACATCCAACCCCACCTTGCCAGCAGCACCTCGCTAGCAGCAATTTAGACTGATTTCCTAAAGATCAATGTTTTATGCTGCTGCAAACTCAGATTTTGTAACACATCTCTCAGGTGATTTTAAGCACGTAGGAACTTCTGAATAGATATATATTGGACAACTCAATCCTCAGAACTGGCAATTAATAAGAACATTCTTTAGGGTCCACATTTTATGTTTATACCCTGTAGACACGTTTTCCTCTTTTTCAGGATCAATGTGTAAAATTTAAGTGTTACATTATGCGATGTTCATGAATGAGCAAATATCCTGACTGAAGTCACCAGCAGGAGGCAAAGTTGCATATTCTGGGTTTACTTTTTAATTTTGTTTTATTTTTAACTTCTTTATCCAGTGGTGGTAAAGTGCTTCTTTACTGCTTCAGATCTACCACTTGACTGTGCTCATCAACTATCTTATGGTTGCATTCCAACAGCCAATAATGTAATTTTGGGACATTTTCTAATAAAAGTATGCAAAATATAATCTTCTGATTTAGTCAATAGGAGAAAAGTTAAGTAAGTAGACTACGGACAGCCTTCAGAGGAAGGTTAGGCCAATCTTAAGAATATACGGAAATTATTCTGTAATTAAATAAATTAATTCCCAGCCCCATTTTGTGAGCTCTCAATTTGTTTAAATCCTGAACTAATGAACTGTCCTTGCATTTGAGACTGTCAGCGCACAAATGCCTTGGCACATAAGTTGACTGTAATTTGATTCAGCATAGGTGTGTCCGTGATTTGGCTGCGGTCAGGGGAGGCGGGATGAGCTGTAAGGCTTCAGCAGGTTGAGTGGAAGACTCCCCCCACTCTGACACCCTGAGCAGCCAAGGTGTTGTACTCTGCCACGGCCTTCTCCGTTTGCAAGACCAGCACATCAATCCCGTTCTTCTTCAGATAGTCCACAGTGGATGCTGGAACCTCAGAAGAGAAAAGGAAATGGGAAAAGCAAGTGTTAGATTCTTTTCCCCTTACACTGGAAGGCTTGAAGAAGAACACTGATGCCATTTGTTAAGCACCACCTAAGTAACTGGTAATAGCCAAAATGATAATATGCTCTGATATTTCTAAGATTGATTTCATTTTTTCTCTTCAATAAAGCTACTTTTATATTCACACCTCATATATCTCCTTAGCACACCTTAAAATGCAGTCCTTTCTTGCAAAAACAAATAGAATTGGAGCTAAAGGTATTTAATCTAAATAAAGTCTTATTCATCCCACCAGAAAGCCGAAGAGTTCCTTCTCACCAGGTAAAGTTCAGCACTTTTGAGCTTCCTGTAGCTGGTTTATCTGCTGAAATGACACCCTGGCACATTAGTAACAAAAATGCCGAATTATCAAAGTATTTACAGCAGGCTAGAGAGCCACTTTATCACCTATCGCAAGAGAAGGGGACTAATGACATACTGAAAAATTCTCCTTGTTTCAGCTGCTCCTGTAGTAGAACATAAACCTGTTTACTGCTTGACATTGACACTAATACAGAGAAGTTCAAATGCTGCATCTTCCAGAGGGACTCCTGACAGGAGCTCAGTCATGCTAATCCTGAATTTCTTCCCTCTCAGTGAAGCATCTTCAATTTAATTTTTTTTCCCTCTCTAATCAGAGGGAGAACAAACAGTTCTAGTTTATGCTTTTCACAGAACAAAAACCTACCTGCAAAGCCTCACTCATGCCACGGCCAATCACCACAGTTTTAACACCCTTCTTGACGACTTCTTCAAGGTCAGCGGGCTGCACTCCTGGAGAATGCTAAGTGTCAGGGAAGGAAAATAATAGTCTGTGTACTGACAGCATCAACCAGGAAAGCTGTGTCTGTGTGTTCTGAAACTGCTCACAGAGCAGCAGGGTAAATTAGCCATACCAAAATGTAACACAACCCTCTCTGCGTACACAGAGGAGGTAACACTAGAACCTGAAAAGTGTATTTCATATGCAGATGAAGGATGATAGTTAATCTATTGATGGCTATATTATAATTTCTTATTAAACAGTCAAAAAAAAAAAGATGCATTAAACATTTTTAAGACATTTATGTGTAACTACTGGCATTTTATAGATATTAAATAAGTTAAAGTGAAATCAATTAATAGCAACATATTGCTATTTGATTTCAAATTAACAAAGTCTTTTTGTAAGAAAGATCGTGGCAAGCCAAAGTCTACTCACTTTAAATACAAAGAGCTCCTCAAATAATTAAAATGATTAAATTATTTTCTTGTTTACTCAGCAAATCTCATTTACCAAAGAGGACTGAAATGTATTGGGTAGCTTTGTTTCAGTTAACAGCTTCCATTTCTGCACTATTCTTTATTTTGAGAAAAGAACATTTGAAACCAAACCCCTCAAAGAATGAAAGAACTTTCATGATACATCAACTGAGTTTTTAAAGCAGCAAACCCATTTACTCCTAGCAAACTTTAGTATTTGAATCCATAAATACACTTTCAATATTAATATGAAATACTATTATGTCACATTAACTCTCTTGGATTCAGTTTCTGTTTACAACCTGTGGCTAGAATTTGCCCCCTCTTTGGCATGCACTTCTATTTTAAACCATAACTACTATTTCTCTCCCTTTTTTTTTAGTAGAATTCTAAAGATTTTTAGAGGTCTGAGATGAGTTTCTCTGCTTCAAGAGAGAGAAACTCAAGTAAGGAAGCAAGTAAGACTTGTCAAGCTGAAATGAATGATCTCCTGAAGCTGCAGGTGAGGGAAGCCTTCCATGTAGAGTGCCACTTCCAATGAATGCATTAAACTTATTCCACAAGAAAGTCTTTAGCCTGACTGGTATCTAAAGTTTCAGTAACAGAAATGATTCACCTCTGTGGTTCTCCAAGTTCACAGAATCATAGAATACCCCAAGTTGGAAGCGATCCACGAGAATCATTCACAGGACTACCTTAAACTAAACCATATGACCATTAGTCTAATATGACTATTAGTGCTTAGTTACAGAACCCTGCAGGGCCAGTCACACAATTTTCCTGATGAGAGAATGCCATACAAGATGGCAGTGTGACAGCAGAGAAGGAAAGGAAGCAATTTATTTCCAACTAGAGTGTGGGACATGACCACCACTGCTTGTTTCCCAGACCTCAGTTCTATCTACCTCAGGAAGAACATGCTCAAAGAAAGTAGGCACAGTGTAGTACACCATAAAAAAACAGGCAGAAAATGCACCTGTTGAATCCTACTGATCAATTGTTTTACAGTTCTTCTCAAGTTGGAGATGCAGTTTAGAAAAGTTTAGTTCTATTCTTAATATCTGTTGTTTGCTATTCATTTTAAAAGCAAACACCTATCTCCTTATAGCTGCAAGGATAGGACTGATCTACAGCAGCAGCTTTACAAGTGACAAACTCTAAATAGATATTTTTTACTTCCTGATTATATGAAAAGGACGGTAGAAAACCTACATTTCCAAAGAACCCAACTATATTTTTTCTCCTCCAATTTTAATTTAACATTGACTTGTTCATTCTTGTTTCATTAGGAGGACTCCTCTAAAGACTTATGGATTTAAAGATTTTACCTTGTCACATTAAGAAATTCAGTTGTTAGAAACTTCCAAAAGAAAGCACAACTTCTTAAATGTCCTTAAGTGCTTATAATTTGAAACCAAAGTTTTCCAGTGGCTGGAATGAATATCAATGTGTGACTGAGCTGGAAACTAGCTGGGAACTTTTGAGCTATGCTATCTGTTCTGCTTCTCCAGTCCTGTGCATATGAACCAGGAAAATAATACTGTCAAACAAACAGTGACTCTCACCACATGACCCCATCCTCTGAACATCCAGTCCAAACTTAGGTTTTTATAATCAGACCGTAAAGGAAATACATTTAAAAAGGTTACAGGTACAGATACCTTTCTCTCTGCAAAGTGCAGATATCTTTGCACGACAGCACCACCTTTCTCTTGGCAAAAACCTACTCCACATAAATTGAGCTCTGATGGCTTAAAAAAGTCCTGTTCCCCCAAATACTGTAGTTGAAATTCTGAAATCAAAGGTTCTGCACTCTAGTTGTGTCAAAATGAATTCAACAGAGCTGTATCCTCTGTGTGGATGCAGCTGCAGGTGCTGGGTATAAGCCCTGGTCAGTACACAGTTCTTCTGAGCTTTAACTTTTGCTTTGAAAGCGTGGAACTTTTTTTTCCAGCCAATCGTCTATCCCAGTGCAAGTCCTAATATGGGGAGAATTATCAACATTGAGTTCCTAATGCAACAGATTCAATACTGCTTCTAAATCTGGAACATCCACATTGTTCCATGCACTTTTATAAAATCCTGATTGCATTTACAGATAAACTTTAAAATTTACAAGGGCAAGCACTTAGTATAAGGCTTCCAAGAGAAGTCACCGTGTGGTTAGCCAGGCTGAGCTTTTCACACAGAAACGAGCGTGTATGACACTGCATCTGCATATTTTTCCTCTGAAATAAGTACAAGGGACCCCAAGGAAAAGGATATAAACTAAACCACATGCATTGCTTTCTTCCAAACATGTAAGGTCAGTGACTCTTGATTTTTTTACTTCTCATGATTTCTTTTCCTATCACACTCAAGGCAACTTTTGTTTAGACAGCCTGAAGAGAGGTTGCTACCGACATCTTACGACAGGAGCCCTCTTAGCCAGATGCAGGATGTTGTTTGAAAGCTCTAAGGTGTGTGATTGTTGTCTGGTCAGGGCAGCTGTGAGGACTCATGGCAGTGGTTGCTACACCCTGTTGCGTGAAGGACACTGTGCGTCTGCAGCCCTCTGACCTCTCCACACTGTCACCTCCGAAACGTACACTCAGTTCTTCCCAGGAAAAGTCAAATGGCTAGATGACAGAAAAAGGCAACTCGCTGAATTTCTGTTTGGAACTTTAACACTGTTCTCTGGACCGTTCTCGGAGTCCTGTTTTAAATGCAGATAGTAAACAGTGAACTTACATTAGTCCCAGTTTCTCGCCAATCCCATGTCCGGCTTCCTCCCGGCCATACTTTGCAGTCCTTATATGTTGTAGAGCAGCCTTTCACCTTCATCTGACCCCAAGAAAGGGAAGCAATTTCAGGGGAAGACATCACAAAGTTGAAACAAAGTCTGGAAAAAGGATATTTAACATATAACATCAGGCCAACATATGCAGCATGTTAATAAAAACGGAAAATTCTGTCCTTGCCCCAAGGAGCTAGGAAGGAAACGCTATTATAGACTTCATCCACGTGATTTTGTGACAACAGACTTGAACTGAGGATCAGTAGATTTGTTGAATTACCAGTCCCCTTGGGGATTTTGTGCAGGATTTTGGGCAAATCATTTTACGTGCTAAATCTCTACAAGTATTGAGTGTTCAACTTTTAAAACTATCAACAGGGATCAAGTGCCAGAATATCCTCTCACATCTGGGTTTTAATCTTCTCCCTAAAGTGTACGATGAAGATAATAATAATTTCCTAAAATATCTGAGATCTACACTAGTTTATTTAGGCTGCTTCGCTGAAGTGGTGAGGCTAAAAAGAAATGCCAAACAAACAAACAAACAAACCCAACAGAAAAGCCATGAACCAAACAGTGGCACTGCCATATTGCTACAGCAAACAGGACTTCCAGGGCTGTAAAGGGGTCAAATCTTCTTTCCCCCGTCCCTCCTGACAGAGGGCAAGTCTCCCACAACATTTATACACTCTAACAGCAACTTTAATCTTCATTGTTTCAACTTAAATCCATTATTTCTAATTCTTTCTGTTGGGGACAAGTAGAACAGCTTAATTTTTGTCTTTTTCACCACTTTTTTGTTTTCTCGAGGATTTCACTCAGTATTTTTTTCCTCCTTTATTTAGATCAAATAAACTTCCCTTCAGTCATGTTTTCTAAATCTCTGCTTATTTCCTCCTTTTTTTCTGTGGCATCCAGCAATCTGGTACGCATCTTTCTTTGATGTCTGTTGCCTGGAACTAGACAGAGCCTTATTGGTGCCGCTATAGACCAACTGCTTTTTGGTGTGTGCCGCAGCAGTGTTTGGATCTGCTGTCACAGGCACTCCTGGGCACCACCAGGGCAGGGGCTCTGCCTCACAAAATACTGTGTTGTCTCACCATGGAAGCTTTCACCCTCCTCACAGTCCCTCATGTTACCGCAGTCCGATTGCTGGTGCGATTCTGGCAGTAGAGGGAAACAGAGGAATCACAGGGGGATGATATACCCTGGAAGTGTGTTGGACTAGCATGGCAGTCCACTGACACATCTCAGGGGTAGAGTCACCTTTCTTCCCTTCCAGTTCACCTCGTCTGAAATCCGCATTATGAAGAAAATCAGTAGTTTCTGCAGTAAAGAGAGGCTCCACCTCTGGCTAATCCAGAAAATCTCTCTGACAGAGCCTTCCAGATACAAAGATTTTCATCCTTTACCTTTTAGTTTTTTAAATTCACCAGGAACTGAATTCTGTAAATTCACCATAGGAACCCTGGTGGCACAGATTAAAGGCACTGCCCTTGCAGAAGAGAAATCTTTGGATGACCAGTCCTTCTGGAAGCCTCCCTTCCCATCTTGCACGTGCTACAACAGACACAGCACAGCTAGACACGTTGCCCTTGGATTGCCAGGAGCAGGTCTCAGTATCCGCCTAAAACGCAGCATGAAGGAAAAAAGGCTTTGGATCCAGCACAGGACTGAGTTTGCCAGAGGTGCTTCCCACACAGGATGAGGGGCAATTCTTTTCCTTTTCACTCCTGTGTGACATTTGTGGCACATACGCATTGCTGAACAGGAAGCCAGGCAAGAAGCTATGGGGGACTGGAACTTGCTTGGATTCATATATCTTAGATCCTCTCATCACACATCCATGATGCAAGGGATTCAAACAAAGGCCTGCAGGACTCTTTTTTCAAAAGTTTGCCTGAAGGGAGACTGTAACTGAAGAAATAACCAGCAATAGTCCTGACAAAATGAAATCGAAGAGTAAACACTGAACAAAGCACCCAGAACCTGGCTCTGAAGAATCAAAATAATTTTTGAGTGTACTACTTTTGAGAGGAGATGGTAGAATTAGAACTTAGAGGTTGGACACAGGTGAATGAATGATAAAACAATCAGGAATATCAGCTTCCCCAATCCAAATAGTATTACAAGGCTGGAACTGTGCAATCTAACAGGCACAAACTGCAAATGGGAGAGCAAGGGTTCCATCTTTTCCAAAGGGCACAAAAATAAGTATGTAGAAGAAATGAAGAAACAAAACTTACATGGCATAAATACAGATTTGTAATCTAAAACTATTTCCTGTAATACTGCCAGAGAATATCGGTTAGGGCAGGCCATTCAACTAAATACGAGCAGCTTAGACCAGAATAAGTAAGAATGAACTTATTGACAGGAACTTTGGACATCCTTTGATGGAGGGCATGGTCCAATCACAAAGGAGTAGGAAAATAATTCTCAGACAAATTATTTTTTTTAAATTATTGACTGTGAGAAGTGTACAGTATAAAGATTTACAGTAGCAAAATAAAAGAAATCTTGAAGTAAATGACTTGCAAGTACAACCTAAAATAACAATTTCTGTAAACTGCAGTAGTCCAAACATAAAGAGATAAGGAGAAGAGATAGTCCAGGGCTCTGTAAGCAAAGTCATGGGAGTTTAAAAACATTTAAGCAGAACTTAAAAGGAGGCAAAATCCCAGTTTATGTCAGGAGACTCTACTGAAAGAGAGAAATGAAGCAGTGGCTAAGGATGGCAGAAGACAAAAGTAGCTGAGAACAAAATGGAAGAAACTTGAGACTGAAGTACAGTTGGGCAACCTGATGGATTTTAAGATTGCCAGCACATCTCTCTTCTGTTCCAGAGCAGCACCCAGCAGCAACAAATGGAATAAGAGGTGAACGAGGGCAGTGCACCAGATAATATAAATCCACTGCAGAAGGAAAGAAATGTTTCATAAAATCCAAAGGGCAACCAGAGACCAAGAAAGATAAAAGTGATAGAGTAAATTGTTGTATGTGAAATTTTGGGCAGAACAAACTCCTGTAAGGGGTCAGAAGACAAGGTGGTTCTTCAGCACTGCCTGGGAACAGGTGAGAGAGTTCCCATTCCAGGGGATACAACAGGTGGAGAGCCAGGTCAGGATTAAAAACAGCAGAGAGGGAAGTTAGAAAGGCCAGGAGAAATTTAAGCGAGCTGTGTAGGAAGAGGGAAGATCTCAAGTTTATGAAGGAGGAAAACACATTCGGGGAATTCGACAATTTCACTTCGCCGGGAAGCCTGGTCAAGGCGAGTTAATCTGGGAGGTCACGCTGGAAAGGGGCGTGCTGGTAAGAGAAGGTGGGGACAGCACTTTGGGAACAAGGTGGGGAGAAGAAGGAGGCGAGGACAGAGAACCCAGGGGTAGGAGTAGGGAAAGGGAGAAGGGAGGGCACAGCTCTGGAACCCCCCGAAACATGGCACTGCGCGACGGGGCACAAGGACTGGGACCCGGACTCGGATCAGCCCCCGGATGGGGGCTGGGATCAGGCCAGTGCCGTGCCAAGGCGCAGTGCCAGCCCAGGACCGGAGCCGGTCCGTCCCGGTCCGTCCCTCCCCGCCGCCCCTCACGCTGCGCTCCCTCACGCGCCGCACTCACCGCCCCGCGCGCACCACCCCTCTGCCCCGGCGCGCACCGCCTCCGCCCGGCCCCTGCGGTCGGGGGCGGGGCCTCCTCGATACCGATCTCTCATTGGCCAGCGCTCCCCCTTCCCGCCCCTCCCGCCCGCTCCGATTGGCCAGCCCTGCGGTCCGTCCCCGCCCCAGCCCCGCCTTGTTTTCATTCCCCCGCGCCGCGCGCGGCGGAGGGGAGCCGGCTCGTGCCGCTCTGGCCGCCGCCCCCTGCCCTCCCCTGCCTTCGCCGTGCCCCCGGTGCATTGTGGGATAGTGGCGGCCCGGCCCGGCAGCGCCCCCTCCTCCCTCCCCCTCCCCAGCTCCTTCTCCATCCCCAGGTCCAAGATGGCGGCGGCGGCGGCTCCTCCGGCCCCATCCCCGCCGCCCCCTGCCCCGGCGGGCCCGCGCTGCCCGGGCTCCTGGCCCAACTTCGCCGTCGTCTGCTCCTTCCTCGAGCGCTACGGGGCCCTGCTGGACCTGCCCGAGCTGCCCTTCCCCGAGCTGGAGCGCGTCCTGCAGCCGCCGCAGGAGCCCGGAGACCAGGGTGAGCGATCCCGACACGTCCCCTCGCCCGCCCGGCCCAGGCCGACCGGCTGAGGGGGGCCCAGGGGGCGGGGGGGGGGGGCCGGGGCTGTTCCCCCCCCGCCTCCTCCCGGCCCCGGGGGTGGAGCGCACCGAGGGAGAGGAGGGGCCTGGGATTCCCGGGGGGAGGGGAGCCCTCGCTCCCTAGGTTTTTTAGCGGGGACCAGCTCTTTGCTGGGGCGAGGGGGGGTTGTGGTGGTCTCCCCCTATGGCGGGGTACAAGAAGAAGCAGGGCCACCTCTCCCGTCCCCTCTCCTCGCTCTCAGTGGCGCCTGTGACCCGACCCCCCCTTCGTCCCTCCCTCCCTTTCCCTTCCAACCGCCCCCCCCACCCCCGACGTTTCCCTGGGTTCGTTCTCGAGCCCTGTGCGGGTGGAACTCCTTGCAGAAAGGAGGGACAAGCTGAAATAACTATTTTCGTTCAGCTTGGCTCTGGCAGCCGCTCTCTCTTCCATCTCCTCCCTTCCCCCCAGCTTGGGGGTCGCTCCACCGTCCCCCTCCCCCATATATCTTATATATCTAATGTATCTCTCTGGTTTTGCTTGTCCCCCGAAACACGGAGGGAACACACACAGGAGGGAATGTCCTGATCCCTACTGACACCCCCCCCCTTCGCCCCTTTCCTGTCTGTGTATGTGGGATGAGGAATGGGGAGCGCGGGGAGGCCCCGAGCCCCCCCCCCGGCTGCTGTTGTGGGCCGTCTCCTCCCCACAAACACAGCCAGCCATTGTGTGCCACCTCCATCCCTCTCCTCTCCCCCCTCCTCCCTCATCCCCTCTGTAGTTGCGGGGGGGATAAGCTGTGGCTGCTCCCCCGCCGCCACCTGAGACGTGCGAGGTGGAGGGATGGGTTGTGCACTCCGCTGTTTGCTTTCAAGCTGCTCCTCCTCTCCCCTCCCCTCTCTCCAGCAGCAGGTTTGGTTGCCTGACTCTTTTTAATTCCGGCTCCCCGCGATGGACGCGGGAGGGCCCGGGCCGAGGGATCAGGCCGGGGAAAGGAGGGCTGTGTGGAGGCGGCCGTAGGAATACGGAGGGGAGGGAGCTTGTTGCTCTTGATCTCTTGTCTCTGTTATTCGCTTGGTTGTTGCCTCTGCACTCTTGCCACATAGGGAGACCATGGAGCCCACGGCGCATGCCCGGCAAGGCCCCTTGAAAACTTCCTGCTGCTGGAGAATCCCAGCTCGGGGCTCTTTCTGGTCCAGCAGACCCTGCTTTTCCCCCACAAGGCACCCGCTCTCGCCTCCTTCCCCACCAAACCCACCCCGTCTGGGGCGTGCGCCATTAAATCGGCGTGTAGGTGTTTCCTTTCATAAAGGAAGTTGCTTTCTGCCAAGTGCAGATGTCCTGCCTGTGGGTTCACAGCAGCCACTGCTGAAATGGAATGAAATAAGATTAATGTGTTTTCTGCTCGTGTTGTCTTGTGCCTAGTCAATATGAAAAAAAAAAAAAAGACTGCTGAAATCCATAAACTTCTTAAAACAGGGTTAACTTTCTGTAAAGTACGTATTTGTATTCAGTTCCCCACCAATCCTGTACCTCTTATGTTATATAAAGGACTCATTAGAAAAAACGTTGTTTTGTTAAACTGTTGCAGAACTTATTCATAAAAATCACCAACACACTTATAAGTTTGAATTTTTAATAAAAATAATCCTTTTAAAGTCATGTCTGTAAAGAAAACTAATGCTTTTACTGTGACACAATGTCAGTGGGTGTGCTATAGTAATTTCTTGTGTGAAATGCAGAATAAATTAAAATGAAAGGATGAGATAGTGACCTGTGGTCTAAGTATATTTACCCCTGATTAAAAAAAAAAAAATTCTTGATGACTTTTAATTGCATGATGGGTGGGAAGGGTTGTCAGTGGGATAATGTTTACTGCATAACTCTTTTCTGAAAAGGTTTTGAATTATTTGCACAGTGGAGTTTGCATTATGCACTGATTTGATATGTCCAAGTTTTTAAACTTTTCTCTGTTTGTTTTTCCCTTTCCTGTGTGGCAGAGGGTGGGTTGTTCCCCACCCCCCCGCCCCCAAATGGGAGGAGAGGCAGCTTCTGAAAATGTGCTCTCTGAAGTGCTGGGTTTTTTTGCTTGTGTCTGGTGTACATGATGTATTTGGTTGCATTTCTCATCTCTAAGAAAGAAAGTGTGGAGGTGTGAAAAACAAACTTGTGTGATTCTTGATACTTTGTGTGGTGACTGGTGTGGCAGGGGTTTTCTTTTCCTTTGGTACAGCCTGCTCCTTGGGCTTGGTCTGTGGTGCCGGTAACTGTTACCCGGAGTATTTTATGCTCTTGCAAAAACGGCGGCAGTGACTAGATTTTTCTACGTGATTTTTTCTTCAAGTAGTCCCTAAGGTGGTGTTTTTAAGGGTACGATTCATAAGGTTGCTAAACGTAGATTGAAAATTGAAGTGGCTCTTTTATTTCTGAACATCTGTTATTTACCAACTGTATGTAGTTTTCCTTGGAATGCAAAAGGGATTTTGATTTCAGTTATATCCAGTTAGTTCCACTTTTGATACCAGCATTGCTTGACAGTAGATTTACAATGGCAGTAATACATAACAAAATCTAAGGAAGTAGCTACAGAACTTCAAAGTATTGGGTTTTTTCCCTGAATTTCTTAAAAACTGGAGCAAGTTTTAAATCTCAACTGCCCCATAACAGCTATTTGTAACTCCTCTCCATATTCATTTTGCAATCAAGAAAGGGAATCAGTAGTCTAGGGGTTTTTTAGTTATCTTTAAAACTATTCTGATGCTCAGCAGTTTCAATTTTTATTTTTTTTTCAGTTTTGTTTGTGTTTTTTTTTTCTTTTAAACGTGGCCTATATTGTCTTGTCTGAAGAGTTTCTCTTGGGAGATGCCAGCAGAAGTTATTTCCTTTATATCAGAAGCCCCAAGGAGAACTCAGAGCTTAAGTTTGAATGTTGTTCAGTAGTTGTATAACAATCATATTTTTCTTCCCTGTTAATAATTAGAACAAAGAACTTGTTCATTATTAAGGAAACAAGCTACAACCTTCCCTCACAGGAAGGGGTGCTGAGCAGATGTTGACAGCTAGGAAGCTATCAGTTATTTCTTAGAGGGATTTTAGTGGGTTTTTTTTTTTAAATGCTTGGACAGCGCTTAAACTTTACCGTATTGCCACTCTTAGCTGAGAATTTCAAGACAAATAGTAAGGACAGCAATGCTTGGGTATGAATAGTTTTCAATAGTAGTCTGACTAGTTTAGATACCAAATTAACCTGAATTAGTAGCAGTCAAGATGTTTTAACCATGTGTACACAGGTATGGTCTTAGAGTGCACAGACCAATTTAAAATGTTCTTTGGGATTTAGTGGGTAACTTAAAACATACTTGAATAGGAAAGTAAGAATGTGTGGTGTTGATTTCACCCAACGCTTTTGAATAGTGGGATAAACTGGTAGCCCTGGAAATAGTCTTCTTACAAAGGCTGTATGATAAAATGGCTCAGCTTTTCCAGCTGGTGGCTCATTTGAAAGTTGTAGCTATTCAGACAAAGTAATAAGACCTGTAGTTATCTGATGAAGATTTTATTTTATGAAGAATAATTGCCCTTGAAGAATAATCTTGCCTTTATGAATGCTTAGTTTTGCTTTAAGTACAATGTTGTGACTTGGGTTGGAATTATGACAAACTTCTTAGGAAGGAGTGAAATTGAGTGTCTGTCAAGATGATTACCAGTGTTAACTCACAAAATCCACTATTTTATGTGCCTCAGAAATAAAATGGTTTCTTGCAGGTTTTATTAAAAAGCTGGGTTTTAACCCCAGTCAGCAACTCAGCCCCACTCGGCTGCTTGTTGACTCCCATGGTGGGATGGGGGAGAGAATTAGAAGGGTAAAAGTGAGAAAACCAGTGGGCTGAGATAAAGACAGCTTAATAGGGAAACCAATATGAGGAATTTATTCACACTTTCCCAGTGGCAATCAGATGTTCAGCCATCTCCAGGACAGCAGGGCTTCATCATGCGTAAGGGTGACTTGGGAAGACCAATGCCATCACTCCCAACATTGCTGTCTTCCTTGTTCTTCCCTCAGCTTTTATTGCTGGGGATGACTCCATATGGTCTGTGTATAGACAACAGTCTGGTATATCCCTTGGGTTGGTTGGGGTCAGTTGTCCCGACTGTGTCCCCTCCCAGCTCCTTGTGCACTCCCAGCCTCCTTGATGGCGAGGAGGGGCAAAGAGCAGAACAGGCCTTGGCTCTGTGTAAGCTCAGCAGTAACAAAAGCATCCTGGTGTTCACTGGCACAGGTTGCCCAGAGAAGTTGTGGCTGCCCCATCCCTAGAAGTGTTCAAGGCCAGGTTGGAAGGGGCTTTGAGCAACCTCTGGTCTAGTGGAAGGTGTCGCTGCCCACGTCAGAGGGGTTGGAACAA